TCCCAGGTCTGTGCTGGTTTATGGACTTACATGACACGGGCCAGAAACCTCTGATGCTTGGTTGCTTGGGTTTTTTTACCTTTACAAGGCATTCAAAGTCCCTAACAATTTTTAAGGTCAGATATATGAACTCAAAATTTCACATGCACATCACGTTGCCAAGTATTAGGGAACTGTAAATTCACTTCAAAGTCACAGGTTTAAAGTCTGAATGCTCACAGGTGACATTTTGCATGCTCTCCTAGCAGTGAGCTGGTATTCTTTGTGTCTTAGTTGAAAAATGTGCTTCCTTTTATTTGCTGTCCTGGCACATTGTGTCATTTCAAGCCTTGAGTTAGATGTTTGTTCTCTTACTGTTCCATTTCAAACCCTGGGCACAAGGAGTGAGGAGATGGAACAGGAAGGTGACTATTTCTTTACTTTTTGCTCTTGGAAGTTACCTTTGTACAGCAGTGCTCAGTGGTGCAGAACAACTTGTCTCATCCCTGGCAATGCAGCTGTCCAGCTAAGAAGTATTGGGAAGGAAATGAGAAGTGATTTCAGGGTGCAGCCCAAAGTTGTCTTTCCAAGAGCTGTGCCTAAAGGACATTTTTACAGCAGCTAATACAGAACCTGGAGGATGTGTTGCTGTCTGTGTCTGTAAATCAGTCACTGTATTTTAGGCATTTGATGTATCTGCTCCCCCTGTAGGGCACTTTGGCATTGTGGACCCTCTGGGTGGAATGGAGCGAAGGAGCAAACAGCAAGGAGGACACAGAAGCTCTCTACCAGGTACTGGGCTAATCAAAATCTACTTTTATGTCTGTGTAAATAAATGGGAACAATGTCTGTGAATGGAGCATGTAACAAATGCTTTATACAGCAGTTCTGTCATGGATGTGTTGATATCAAAGAATTTCAAGCAAAACTGTGTGTGTTATCAAAAATCAGTTGGACACAGGCTTATAGGCACAAATGTCATTCCCATTCTTCTGAAACAGATGTTTGTAAGCACAACCAGTGATGTACTCTTACTTTGTGGTCTAGAATTTTTTGCTCTGTTTCAGACACCTATCTGAACACGGAAGAGAGAATTTTACAATCTGTGTGAAAACATCAGTCTTGTTATAGAAAACTCAAGATCACAAGTGGGACTTTAATCTCACTATAAATTTCCTCAATATCTTAGGGCAAAACATTTCCTCTTTGCCTGGCATGTTGGGTAGTGGGTTTTTTCCCCCTTTTACAATATAAAACACATATTTCAGATGGAAGCTTGAATTCAGCTGTTTGTAGAGCATTGGGAAACCCTCTGCATGGAGGGTGTTAAGGAAATGCCAGTTGCCAGCTGTGTGGATTATTGGAGGAGAAATGTACTTAGGAGATCTGCTTTATTTCAGATGCCTGATGAGGGCATGCCTTTTAATTGTAGGTATGTGGTGGTTTTATTTTTTGTTTTGTGTTTTTCTTCCCTTTAAACTTGCAGAGATCCTTACGTGCCACAACTCCTGCTGAATCTGTGACTATGAAAGAAATGTATCTCGACTGGACTTACAGAAGTGGTGGTTATAAGAAAGTTAAAAAAGTTTTTACCAGGTAACAAGTAAAGCCTTCAAACCAGATTGTTCTAGGGTGTATGTTAAAAGACTTGAAGTCTAAAGTTACTTGTTTTATTTCAGCCTGTGTGAAAATCGTCCCTTTTCACTTGACTTCTTCAGGAAGATGATCCAAATAGAAAAGGAGCAAGTAAGTTGTTGAATATCCAATTAGTGCCTTGTATTTGTAAAATACACTTCTAACTTTGGATCTAAATAGGAAACAGAATGGTGTTGTCAGTCTGTGATCAGTTCATGTTTGTCTTCACGAGTTGATTCCCAGGATGTGATACAAACCCAGTTCCATGGTAACTAATCTTGGGCAGTGTGTGTGTGTGCATGTAATTGCCATGACTCTCTTCCTTTGTAAGAATCTAATCAAGCTGCAGATTCACTTCTGTACAAAATAAATGGCCTTTTAATACCTTCCTTTGTTAGGAATCCTGCAAAATGCTTCATCTGAGAGAATACTATGAACGTGCCTTGAGGGAGTTTGGTTCCACAGATACTGGTAAGGGGATTCTATTATTTATTTATTCATTCATTTATTCATTCATTCATTCAGTGCTGCCTCTTATTTCCATCCATTTCAAAAGGTAGCTGCTTGTTTTGCCCTTGTGCTTGCTGTCATGCAGGGCAGAGCTTATTTCTTCTGTGCTGTTAAGTGTAGGACACTGTAGTGACCCTCTGCTGTCAGCCCAGGGTCATGGGCACTGCCATGGCTTCAGCACCACTGGGAGCAAATCAGGTTTTGACACTGGCATTGTTGCATTATTTCTTAAGACATCAGTGTTCCAGCTGGGAATAGAACCCAGGGTTTTGCTCCTCAAGGTGCAGGACACTGTAGTTTCATGAAATAAGCCTTATTGCATTAACATCAAAGACACTTAAAAGGAGTTTCTAGTTAGGTTTGTTTGTTAAGTAATATGCAGTTAAAATATAACCAGAACTTCCATTTTTCTTTCAAAGATCTCTGGCTGGATTATGTCAAGGAAGAGCTCAGTCATCCCCAAGGCAAACCAGAAAACTGTGGGAGCATTCACTGGCGAGCTATGAAGATGCTGCAGGGAGACCTGGTGGAAGATTTTATTTCCAAATACACTTTATTGCAAACTGGACATTTATGAAAAACTATAATATTACACATTACTGTTGTAATGTGACAGTACATTTTTTTAACTTCTTTGTACAGAGGTAAATATGTTCCTGGATCTTATTAAAGTTTATCTTCTTTACATTCTGTGTGACAAAAAAGAATCATCTGTTCCATTTCAGTTGTTTCTAGTGTTGCTTTTGCCAGGGGCAGGTTCAAGTGCACAGTTAGAGAAAGCAAAAGCAGCTCTGAGGGTGTTCTCATTGAGACTTCTGAGAGCAAATTCTTCATCCTGCCTAAACATTCAGACAGTTATAATGCATCAGCTTTTACACTCTGGAAAGCGAATATTACAGCATGTAAATGCAAAAAAACCCAAACCAAACCCCACAGAAACTACTATACCTGTGGGTGATCTCTGTATTTTACCAAGTTGAATAACTGAAAGTGGAACACTTTTGATTAGGTAATCAGAAATCAGTACAAATACAGTATTTATTGTATCCCAGCCTCAAAGTCATCTGTAATCCTCACAGCAAAAACAGAAGCAGCTTCTGCAGTCCCCTTGCATTGGTGTTTGCATCCTGAGAGTGACTGAAAGGTAGAGGGGAGCTGAGGTCTGTTAGCACTGTCCCTGAGGTGAGAGCAGAAGGTTCTGATCTACACTTCAACTTTCTGTCCACAGTGCCTGAAAAACAGGTACTGGCTTTTTGAAACGGTGTTGGCTGTTTATAGAGCCACATTTTCCCATGTCAAACCCAATAAATCAGCATATCCTTGGATCAGTAGGGAAACATAAGGAAAGTAGAGGAACATACAGCAATAGTTCCTTCATGTAATTTCCCAGTGACTGAAGGGTGGCATAATGACAATACAGGGAAATACTTCTTCAAGATTTTTCACTCAAATAGAAGCTGCAGCTTTCTCAAGCAACGAATTCCATTAACTTTTGACTAGCTGGAAAAGTTTGGAGCAGCAGCTTGTTAAGATTGCTCCTTCTGTGGCCAGATCTGAAGCACATCCTGCTTTGTCTTTCTCAGGATTTTAGCCAGGCCATCCCCTATGTCCCCACTAGTTCCCTGCCATCTCATGTCTGACCTTGAGATTTCCTTACTGATAATCACTTACACCCTCTCTGCCCCTTACTCCTGAATCACTTCTTGCTCCTTCAGTTGCACAACTAAAAGCTTTTAAGTGCAAAAGGTTTTAAGCTTTTTTGTTTTAAGTCCAGCAAAGCCGGTAACTCCACCATTTCGGAAAGTGGGCCCCTTTTCTTCACCTGTTCTGGTTCCTCACAGAATTTTGCCATTCATGGCAGTTCCTGCAGCACCTCCCAGGGATACACATTCCCTGAAAGCTCATTTGCCTGACACCTGCCACAGCTGCTCAGCCCAGGTGCTTCCCATCTCCTCATGCTTTATCTGAGCATGCTGCCAGCGCCAGGGGGAATCAGTTTGTTGCAGAGCTTGGGGAGGTACTGAGACTTCATTTCCAGCTTCGTGAGCATAAAGGTATTTTCTCCCAGCTCTTAGGTCTGTTATTTCTAGACGCAGTCTCCACTCCGTGGTGGTGTGGGGTCGCGGACTGGACTGGATGCCTGCCCTCAGGGGCTGGAGCGGGACCAGCGGCCCCCTCAGTCCCAGCCTCCCGCCCTGAGCCGCACCCGGTTCCTCGGGCACAGCCGCGGGGCCGCCCGGCGGCGGTGCCCTGAGCCGGGCCGGGGCCGGGCAGTGACGGGCGGTTGAGGTGCCCTGAGGGGCCGGCGGGGCGGGGCAGTTGGCGGTGCCCTGAGGCCCGGGCATGACGTGCGGGTCGAGGTGCCTGAGGGCCGGGCGGGGCGGGCAGTTGGAGGTGCCTGAGGGCCGGGCAGTGACGGCGTTCGAGGTGCCCTCAGGCGGCCCAAGGTGCCCTCAGACACGGGCGGCTCGCCGGTGCGGGGGTCCCCGAGGAGCTGGGCGGGCAGCGGGGCCGCCCTGAGGGCTCGGCCGGAGCCCGCGCGTCTGCCCCTGACCGCCGGCCGGCTGCAGGCCGGCTGCCCGCAACCCACCGCCGCCGCCTCCCCGTGGGGGTGGGAGTGCGGGCAGAACTCGCCGTTCCCCGCTCCGTGGGCACCATCAGCGCGGCCGAGGCTTTCCTGCCGCTCTCCCGCCCCTCAGCGCTGCTGGAGCGGCCGGTCTGCTCCTGCCCCTCGGCCTGTGGTGGAGTCACTCTTTGGTGTTTATATTTGTTGCACTCCTCGTACCTTCATTACCACCGTTCTCAAACGGGTGCATTTTGCGTCAGTTTTGGGGCCCCTTCCCCGAGAGGTGGCAGCAGGATTGCGGGGTGAGGGAGGAGATGGGCTGTGCTGGGCTGCTGATGCCAGGGGGACTGATGGCAGCAGCAGGATGAGCCACCCCTCGGCAGATTTGCCTTCTCAAGTGAAAGCCTGTTTGGTTTTAAACCTCTGATTCATCAGGGGAACAAATGGATGGGCTCTAAGGCGCAGAAACACTCGCTGAGTGTTGAAGCAGTCAATGGAAGCTGCTAAGGAATTCTTTAAAACTCTCTTGTAGGTGATGGCCGGTGCTGTTGACGCCACAAACTGTGAGGAGAAACAGCTTCCTAATAAGAGAGAAACTATGATCTGGAAGCCCAGAAAAGGTAGGACAAAACAAAGCAGATGGTGAGTAACGAAACTTAAGCTCTGCTTGAGAAATTTACTTAAAATCTTTAGGTGAAGGGTGGGAAATGCTCTTGAGTTACTGCACTAAATTACTTCAGGTAGATATTTGTGTATGCCTAGGTGCAAGAGTAATTAATCAATATGACTGTTTTTAAACCAGAACCGTGGTTTTTCAGCATACTTATTTTTTTAAAAAATACCTACAGGTGAATGTGGTGAAACAAGAACTGCTGGGTCCTTTGCCCTAGTTAGAGATATTTTCCAACAAGAGTGTGTGGAAAATCCTGAGTTGGGCTAGTGCTGTGATGCAAGGCTGTGTTCACTGTTCCCAAGCATCTGTAATGTGAAGCAGCTCTGCAGTGATACTACATATGTAGGAAACTGCATATATTATAATTAGATTAGCAGTCACAAAGTGTGTTTGTGTACCTATCTGAATTATTGTGTGCTGAGCATTTAATATTCCTGTTTAATTTCTGAGTGTATCTCTTGACGCTTTCTGTTGGGTTCAGAATGTTTGCTGGACAGCATTTCAAACGTTCCTGATAGCAAGTCTGAGGAAAGTGAAGCCTCTGATGCCTCTCACAGTGAAGGGGATGACAGTGTCTCTCCTGATGACTGGTACAACGTGCATTTTTACCTGGATGAGGGGGATGATGAAGTCTTCAGTATACCTGACTCTCCAAAGCTGCAAAGTGCTTCTGAGCATGAGGTGGAGGACTGGGATAAAGAATTGGAGGAGTCTGCATATGGTCCTTATGGTGAGTACATGTTTACTTGTGCTTCATTTGAATTTTGGATAGTAGGTGGTTGGAGGTCAGTGCTTTGCAGGAGAACGTGTTTCAGTAACTCCATGTTCTCTTTTGGGAAGCAATTTCTTGTTTTGTTGACCTCGTGGATATGTAACAATTCTGCACAATCTTGTTGTCAAGCACAGGATTTAAAGGTGGTGTTGTGAAGTTCATATGAAACTCTTGCTTGAGCAGTCAAATTCTTAGGGAGTGGCATGGGAAGGAGGGGAATTCTATGTGTGTATTGACTTTCTGGGGAGAAGCAAGTTCTTAGTGGTGTATCTTTGTTATTCTGAAGCAGAAGATAAGGGTAAATGGCGTGCAGGAATGTAGCTTTTGGGGTGTAAAAGTTCTTCCTTTCCTCCAAGAAAATTAAAGATTGTACTCTTTAATGTCCCTCTAGAGCATGGAGTTCTTTGGAAGTGCTCAGTCTCTGAGTAGGGTTTGTTGCTTTGGCTGTAGGGTTGGCTTGGTTTTGTTTGCTTTTTTGATTGTTGTTTTTTGGTGGAAGTTTTCGTTTGTTTGTTTGTTTGACTTTCTTGTTTGGTTTTTTGAAGCTTGATCCTCTGAAGTGGTTGTGCCTGTGATCAGTCCTATGGGCAAAGGTGGCAGTGCACAGAAGTGGGTTTATCCACATCTTTAGAGTTGAATTAATCCTCCAGTTTGTGACTTGTTTTTATGTTGAACCAAGAGTCTGAACCTTGCACTGGCCAGGCTGGCTGTTAGTGTAGAACAGGTGGATGGAGTTTAGCCAGTGGCTGATAACCTGCTGTGTCTTTGATGAAAACAGTATATTTGCATTTTCTTCTCATTAATGTGTATCTTTTTGTAATTAATACACTTTTCTTTGCTTAGGAAATGTGAATTATCTGTTTATTTTGATTCCATGAATGGCTGTTGTATTCAAGTACCAAGTTTGATTACAGAAGAAAGTGGGAAAGTTTTTGTAGCCTTTCCATAAAACCGTTCTGATTTTAAAATGGAAACACAATATTGGTTTTTCACAGTGGGTAATTTGAGGAAAAAGACTGTTTCCTTTTTGGATGTTTTCCCTCTCTTCCATTTTGGGCTTTCCTTTAATCCCCCATCTGCTCAAATTTATGGTATGTTTTGAATTTTTTACTGGAACTGTCACAAGTTCTTTTTTTTTTTTTACTTATTTAACTCACTCATTCCACCTGTAGCTTATGCTTTTTAAATCCTCCCAAACTGAGCCAGCTGTGATTATGGGATTCAGGTAGTGAGTGTCTCAGTTGTTAACTGCTACCAAATAAAAGAAGGTGCTTGGTTGGTCATTTTATGGCTTTTTAAAATGTTTCTTTAAGCACTTGCTGTGGTGGCTTGTTTAGCAGTGCTGCTGGAAGGCTGACAAGTGGAATACTGTGCTGGGTCCTCTGCTCCCCATACTCTGGGCTTTTCCTTTGCTCAGTCCTCTCAGTATCTGCTGCCTGGAAATCTTTCCCTTCTGTTAACACTTTTTGCCCAATTTTTGTGCCAACTTAGTTAAAAACAGGCCTACTAGGTTTAATTCTGGCCTAGTGGTAATGTTGTTCAGGGAGAGCTTTTACAGGAGCCCACCCTCCCTTTCTGTCCAGTGACCCAGTTCTTAAAGGCTTTGGAGGGCTCCTCATTGGGATGGGGATATGGAGGCAGCAGGAAGGGGGAGGGCAAATAAAAGTAAGAGTTTCATGAGCCTTTTATTCCCAGGGAAAATGTGAAAGAACTGCCTGCATTGTATGAGCTGCTGTCAGATGGGCTGAATCCAGGTGTATCATTGAGCTTTTTGGGAAACTCTTTTGTCTGTGTGGCAGGAACCTTCCTTCAAATGAAGACATTGCCACATTCAGCCTCTGTTTGCCTCTTTATTTAGGTCTAATTAATCAGTGCTGGCAGACGAAGTTGAAATAGAGAATCCAAAGATGCTGTAGGCCTGCATAAGAACCTGCTAGACTATACCACTACTTTCCTGAGTATCTCCCATGGTTTATACCTTCTCTTTTATCTTCTGTAGATGCTGATGATCTGTCCTGTGGAAGCTTTCAGGAAAATAATGTTTTGGCCTCACCCGTGTGGAAGGAGGACTGGTTTTACTACCCAGGCTGTCACCACACAGCTTGCTTTGTTTGTCCACCACGAGTCAGTGCAAAGGTTGAGAGTGGCCAGTTTGATGATGCAGATGAGTGAGGCTGACCCTGGGCAGAAGTAAGTTTGGCCTCTGAGTTGGAATGTGTTCTTCACTGACTGAGCTGTGTCAAGTCCTTTAGTTTGCTTGCAGAGTTCTGCCCAAGGCCAGAAATGCGACACCACCTCCCAAGTTTTGCTCAGGTGCTGCTGAGCTGTTCTAAACTGCCCACACTGGGCTCTGGAGACACGAGTGCAGGTGCTGGCTGTGACAGTGCGTTTCTGGAGGTTTTGGTTGTGTTCTGTAGATCTGTGTTGTTACTAATTAATTGCTTGAGAAGAAGTGTTCGGTTTCTAAACTCAGATTGTTTATTTGCAGGGCTTTGTGAGTTTTGACATGCTGGTCCCTGTGTGTGTAACTCTTAGTTCCTTCTCCTTTTCACCTGATGCTGTCAGATGGGTTTGGAGAGCTTTAAAAACTCTCCCTCCTTCAAGCTTCTCTGTTGTATTTCCATGTGGTTCTAATTGCCATTTGTGATTCTGATACTGCTTTTCAACAAAATGAGCTGTGGCAAGTACAGAATGAGTTGTTTTGTGTTTATTTTTATGTATTCCACTATAAAGGAATTAAAAATACCTGATACACATTTTGCAAGCACACATGATGATACACAGCAGGGCCTGCTCCATCCAGTAGGAATGCTGGGTGCCTAAGGCTGCCTCCCAACAAAGCTTTCTCCACATCAGACCTTCTTGTTCTATGGGCATATAACCCTGCAGTCCCAGTGTTGTCTTTATTACACTCTCATGCAGCATCAGATGTGTAATGACAAAGACATTTATATACCTATTGTAGTACATAATCTGTGTGTCCTGCACAGTAGTGGATTAAGGTTCCTGATACTGTTTGTTGTGGCAAATGAGATGAGAACACAAAATACCTCCCTCAGAGAATAGCTGGAACTAGAACCATCTCCTCCTTGCTTTGCTGTGGAATGAAAGGAAATGCTCTCAGATGAAATGTGTAAGTGGATTGAATGGCTGGTCACCAGCATAACAATAACCTTCACCTAATGCTCATGTGTCATTAATCACTTCTCTCTCAACAACTTTTTGTGGCTTTTTTTTTTCCCATGTTTTGACACTGAACTGGAGCACAGTACAATGTTGGGGTTTTGTTTTCTCATGAAACCAAAATAATTCACACACTGGTTTGGGAGGAGGAAGTGGATGACACAGTGATATTTCCTTAATTTTTTCCTAGAGAACACAGGACAAGAGCTTTCCTTTGGGTACCTTTCGATTCCTGGTTATGTGTTAGCACTTAGCAGTCCAAGTATAGAGTGGAAACCTGGTGTTGAGGTTGCAAGAAAGAGGGTCTGTTCCTTAATTCCTATATGGAAGGGTGACCTAGGGATTAATATTTCCCTCAAAACTCAGTTATGCCAATAACTGACTCATCAGCCAGAGTAAAAGGGTTGATTTGCATTTAGAAATGCAATATTCATAAAATGAGTGCAGACATACTAGTAAACTGTAGAAATTCCTGTGAAAAATCCCGGCTCGTTCTGTGAGCTCGTTTATCCCTTGCCCGGACCCGGCCGTTGTCAACGCCCAACACTTCCCTGCAGAGGGCAGCAGAAAATTGTCTGCCCTGCTCGGCGTGTGTTCGTCAGGCGGTGCGAGCTCCCCGGGCTGGATTTCTAACGCTGGGAGCAATTCAGATCTGTGTTCTGCAGAGCCCTGTTGTTCCCCGGCGAGGCTGATTCATGGCCCCGATTAGTTTCTCATTTTTTTTTTTTTTTAAAATTCACTCCCAAGTTGGACTGAAAAATCTCTCCCATGGCTGAGAGAAGAACATCACTTGACTTCAGGCTTAATATATTGTTTTTTACTGTGCTTGGGGGAGATATCCCACCGTATTCAATAAAGAGGAAACTAATAGAATTCTGTGGAAGCAAACCCATCTTTTGTAGAATTGTTTTAAAAGAATAATCAAAAAGTCTTTATAACACTGATTAGAGTGATTTTTTTTTTTTTCTTACAGTTCCAAAATTCCATCAGTACTGAATCTTAAAGCCATTTTCCACGCAGTCTATAAATCAAGGTGTTTTATCACCCTGTACCTTTAATTGCAATCAGTCTGGTCTGTCTCCAAGGTCTTATTCTTTGAGGAGAAATTGTGTTGAATGGCTGCTTTGCTAAGCTGTTTGCATTTTAAATGACTGTCAACTTTAAAGATTTGTTTTCAGTTTCCATTTAAGGTTAAAACTGCCACCACCCCCACCAGGTTTGGGAAAAATAGCACGAGGGTTTTGCAGCAGAGATGCATCCTGCTCTCTCCAGGGATATGTTGGCAAACATAACTTTGTTCATCTTAGCCCTGCTTGTTAGGGCAGGGGCTTAATGTAAAGCTTAATCTGAATACTCTCAAACTTCAGGGGGATTAGAAAACCAGATGCAGCCTCCTCAGAAAGCATCTGCCTGGGAGGATTTGAAACTGAGCTTGTGGATTCCAATGTTTCTGCTCTACAGAGTGTTTCAAATTCCATTGTGAATCTTGCACTGAGCCTGTTTTGTGTTGACACAAGTGTGTCATTCTAGGCAGGAATACATTGCATTTAAAACCAACAGAAGGCAGCATGTGAGCCAGCAATTCACACCGAGAGTCAGCCCTTCAGCCTGCTCAAATTATTGGAGGGAAGAGAGTCCCATCACAGGACCAAGATCATAAATCTTGTATGCATACAAGAAACACACTGGCAGCACATAAATCAGCTGAAAACTTTTCAGAAGTGTCAAAGATTTCTCAGTGAAATGCACATACATCCCTAAGACAACTTCCCCCTTCTACACCCACATTATAAATGTCATTCAAAGGACAGAGACCCTGCTGCAGGTTAATATGTTTGCTGGATTTATGCTGTGGGGAAGGCTTAGGAGTGGAGCATAATATGGTGGCTTAGTAGAGCAGGGTACAACTTTGATGCTGTCCTTGCTTTTCTTCTCATTTCCCCACTTTGTAGGTAAAGCTAAAGATTCCAGCCAGTAAAGTGCTTCAAATTCACTGAGCAAGAAATTTTGTCTAAATAGTCAGGTTTTAAAAAACCAAACGGTTTTGCATTTTCTTTGAACAGACCAGCAAAGAAATGAAAACTTGTTTTGGGTGCATCTGTTGTTTCCTTTGAGACCTACAGGCAATGATTTGCAAGAGGAAATAATTGAAGGAAATGTGTTCATATTTCCTGTTGATAAGGTACAGCACTTAATTCATACATCAGATTGAGTTAGGATTTCTTGGTCTTATATAACCACAAAATCCAGCCTGTTTTAGTGTCTTTTAAAGACACTACTGCTTCACTTGTTGTTTGTCCCATCTTACAACTGGTGTACTTTCACTCTTAAACTAAGAAAATGCCTCCACTGCTGAGGGGGGACTATGTGAGTAATTCCACAGACTAAAGGAAAAATGCTGATGGCAGCAGCTCATCCTGACCATCTGTTGCTTGCAAGGACACCAGTGTAAATCCCTTGGTAACAAAGGTCATTTTGTGGAGCTGGGTAAGTGTAGGCACAGGGAAGGGACGTGGGATACCCTCTGTGGGTCTGTATTGCAAACAGAGACATCGGAAGCTCGAGTATTAGAGGATAAATTTGTGGTGGAGTTGTTAGTCCTGGGAGTACCAGCTGCTCATAGCATGGTTTCCCAGCTTGGCAGGAGAAACTGGAACCTACTAAAAAAAGCTGCAAAGGACACAAACCCAGTAATTGGGTTTAGTGATGGCAACAGCTTCCTTTAAGCACTGGGAACACAAATCCTCAGCTGGTACAAACTTTGGCAACTCCTTACCCAGGCAGAACCTCTGTCCCTGTACATCCCCTGAGCAATGCCTGTGCCATCTCTGAGCTAAAGGTCCATGTTTAGGGTTTCACTGTTGCTGTGGGTTTTAGTCCTTAATATAATGGGCTTTCCTTCCATTCCTTGTAGCTCTATTGACCTTCACAGAGCAAAACCCATGAACGTGGCTCAGTGTCTACATTTCTATCGTGGCAGGTTATATTGGGTGGGATTTTTCCCACTTTGATGGTAGTTTCAGGGCATGTAGCAGAAATGATCCCAGGAAAGGTAACTTCCTATGATTCAGCAAGTCCTGAATGTCTGGTCTCAGTTATTTTAATCAAACCTTTTCTGATCTGCCTGCAATTTCTGTATTTAGACCTGGAAACTCCTTTCATTGTATGCTGCAGGATTTGAAGACTTGAGTTGTATATGTAAGTTGTATTTATTTGTTTATGAGCCTGAGATCTCAGTTTATTGTTTTATTTCCCTCAAAGGGAAATACTGCTCAGTCCTTTTTGAGCTGTTGGTCCTTAGTATGACTTATGTTGAGTAACATGTTTTCTGAGATCTGGAGTACCAGAGGTTCTCATTGTGCTGCTTTGTAGTTTTAATCACTGTAGCTATTGTGGGCTTATGTTCCAACAACAAACAAGTTGTTTAGTATTTCTGCCCCTACCTCAGGAACTACTCCAAAACATTCACATTTTCACTGAGGAGTTCCTTTGGTTACTTAGCAGGTAGTAGAAAATACTAAAATTATTTGACCTCAGATAGAGGACTATCATTTCATCTGTAATCTTCATGCAGACACTGGAGTAAATATGCCACGTTGTAATATAGTTCTGTCTGGCTACAGTTGGTTGGGAATTGTGTAACTCCATCTCCCATGTTACATGCTCAGCTGTTTCTGGGGAAGCGAATAGGTGTGACAGTGAGATTAAACAGGACCTGTATCCCACAGCAGAGAGCACAGCCTCCTTCTAGGTAACTGGAGATTCAGAGAGCAAGGAAAACTCTTCTAGCTGAGCAGGCCTTCACAGTGTTGGTGACAGTAGGGTGGTAGAATTGGAATAGCAAGGTCAGAGGAACAACTGATAGTTCCACCAGAAGCACGGGCAACAAATCAGAATAATTTGGTACAGGAATCTGAGTTGCTGCTTTCTCCTTAGTACAGGAGAAGAACATGTAAGGGGACTTTGAAAGTTCTGTTTCAACTGTGGTTAACTCCTTATACCAGAAGCTGAACTGGGACAGGTAATCTGAAATGGAAGCACAAAGTGGAGCCTGCAAACAACCACATGCTGATTGAGCCATCATCGTTTTCTTGTCTGCTGTCACCACTGGGGCTGCTGGAATACCAGACCCCCTTGTTCTCAGTTTATCAGTACTTTCAGTTCCATGTTCTTCAAACAGGCCATTATCTTCCTGGTCTGAAACACCTTTTACCTTCTGTTTTATTTAGTTCTAGCTTATCTGCATCATTCATACTTGATCTGTTTGATTGGGCCTCCAGCTCTGCAGTTTGTAGTTTGACAGAAGTCTGCTCTTCCCAGTGGGATTGGTCAGACATTATAAAGCCAGGCTGAGACTGCCTGTCTGCTAGATAAGAACTACATTTAGTTCTGTTATCTGCACTTGTGTTGGTGGGTGGATTAGGTTTAATTTGGTCCTTTGGAGAGAAGTGGGCAAACTATCCCTCAAACAGATCTGGGATTTGGTTTAAGGACAGGCTTTCTTATGTGGTCTGTGAAGTGCCTCGTAGCCCTGTAGGAATACTTTGTGTCTGGTTCCTGCCTGCAATTTGGAATGCTGACTTTAATGATCGTGCTTCTAATTATGAACAGAGGTAAAAATTCTCAGATGAAAGAACAGGGAAGTTCATCATCTGTCCCATTAAGGGCAGCAGGGTTTCTGTTGTGCAGAGCAGTGACTGCCCAAAACTGGCACCTCATACCTGCAGTGATACCCTGGCTGCCAGGGCACCTTCACCCCTCCTCAGTGTGCAGCTCTGACCAAAGGGTGTATTGAGTTCTTGACTGAGCCCCATCTTTGTCCCAGGTCCCATGGCTGTGATGTCCTGTAGCCCCTGACAGGGGGGAGCTGGGG